GCTCCGAGGGGAACGAGTTCAAAATCACCGTCCGGAATAGGTCGGAGTGGGATTTGCTCGCTGCTGGATGGCTCGTCCTGGTCGAAGCGAGCGTCGAGGGCTATGGAGTCGACCTTTGGTGGAGCCTTCTGGACTTCTTCCTCGGGGGATGCCTTTGTGTCGGGCTCCTGCTTTGTCCTCTTGGTGGGTCTGGTCCCCACGTCGACGGTGTCCCGTCCCTTTGAAGCGGCGTTGAAGCACCTGCGGGCAGCGGCGAGGTCTCCCTGGATGGTGGCTACCCTTGCCCTTTTGGTATAGAACTTCATTTTTAGATGGACAGTCGAGGGCACCGCTGTCAGCTCCGCCAATGTCGGTCTCCCCAAGATGCAATTGTATAGAGACGGGCAATCAATGACGAGGAAGCGGACCTTAACCTGTCTTGTAGCCGTTCCTTCTCCGAACGTCACCAGGAGCTCGACATAACCCCAAGGTTTGGAAGTCGAGCCGTTGAAGCCTTGAAGATCCGAACCCACATACGGAGAGAGATGTGAGTCGTCCAGTTGCAAGGTCCGGAACAGCTGGCTGTACATCACGTCGACGGAACTCCCTTCGTTGACCAGGATGCGATGCACGTCAAAATTGGCCATTTTTGCCCTTATCAGCAAGGGGATGACCGCGTTCGGGGCTCCGCCGGGGAGTTCTTCCAGGTAGAAGGTGATGGGCTCTGACCTGCCCTTCACCCTTTCGAACGTCACAGTTTGTGGAGGAGCTATGTCGACCAGTTCGTCCAACTTCCTCTTGGCTGAATTGATGGTGAGGTCGTTGAACCCGCCCCCGTTGATGACCATGGCGGAGGGGAAGTATTCCCACCTGCTGTGTGTTGTCAGGGGCTCCTGCAGGAGCTCGGGAACGTCGAAATCCTCGGGCCTGGTTACCGAGAAGGCGGTCTGGATTGGTACCGACTCGTCTGATGGCCGGGCATCTTCTTCAGGCTCCTTAGCTTCATGGGCGTCACGGCGGGGAGCGTCGTTTCGCCTGTACTGTGCGAGCCTCCCTCCCTTGATGAGGGTTTCAATGGCGTCCTTGAGGTGGACGCAGTCCTCTGTCAAATGACCATGACTCCTATGGTATTGACAGTATTTATTTTTGTCTGCCCCTGGCTTGGCGGGAGCAGGTCGGGGACGCTTGACGCCACCGTCTCTGAAATCTGTACTAGCACACTCCGCCAAAATACGCTCGCAGGAAGCCGTGAGCAGAGTGTACTCGGTGAAACGGCCCGAGGGGCCCCTTTGTTCCCGGACCTCCCGGGGTCGATCTTCCTTCCTTTTCTCCCCGGTACGTCGGGGAGGAGGGTCTTGTCGTGAGCTGCTGCTGTTGTTGGGAGCGCGAGCCCTGGAGTCTCGGGCCCTGTTGGCAGCTTCTCTCTCCTCGTAGTCCATGTATGCTCGGGCCTTGTCGAGGAGGGCATCAAAAGTTGGAGGTGGTTCAATACCCACAGCTTTTCTGAATTCTGTGCCGGGGAGGAGGCCCCTCTCCAGCAAATATCTTTTCATATGGTCCGCGCAAGGGACCTGTATTGCTTCCCGGTTGAAGCGGTTGATGAATTCCCTCAAGGTTTCATCCTGTCTTTGGATGATGGCCTCGAGGGCCGCCTCGGTCTTCGGATGGCGCCGAGAAGCTGTGAAGGAACTGATGAACTGGTTCTTCAGGTTCCGCCATGACGTAATTGAGCCCGAGGCGAGTCCTTTATACCAGTCCATGGCCGCCTTCCTGAGAGTCGTGGGGAAAAGACGGCACTTGATAGGCCCCCCGACATTATGATAGTGGAGCATGGCTTCGAACCCGTCAATGTGGTCGACCGGGTCTGCTACTCCGTCATACTCCTTCAAGTGTGGGGGCTTCTCCATGCCCGGGGGGATGGGTGCGTCCATTATGGCCTGCGACAGGGGACCGCGGGGGTCATCCTCGTCGCTCCTCTCCGGAGAAAGAGAAGGGGTCCTGTAGTTATGTCTGGCACGATGATCGTGCTGAGATTCCCTCGAGCGTGATGCTCGGTGGTTGAAGGTCACCCGCCCGTCTCCGGCGTGCCTCTTGTCGTGCCTTGATGGGTCGCGACTGGGTTCTTCGGTAGGGATGACGGGCTGTCTCTCATAGTAGGGCCGCCTCTGCTTTGTCCGGGGAGAGGGGCTCCTGGATTTCTCCCTATAGTGTCTCCGCGGGGGAGAAGGGTGTCGAGCTTCCGTGACCCGAGGAGGAGGAGAATGTGGCCTCTGATGCCTCCTCGGGGGTCGTCGATCATCTTCAAGTGCCCTTAATCTTTCTCCTTGGGCGAAGATGAGGTAATTTGTCTGATTAATGGCCGCGAACAGTGCCTGAGTCGTGGCATCTGCCCCGGCAGGAACTGGGACTTCATAGAACCGGGCAGCTCTGCGATGAGCGAGAGCTACCGGGTCGTCTTCAAGTGCTGGAGGGGTCGTAGAGGATGATGCAGTAGCCCCGTCCCTGTAGGTGGAAGGTCCAGGGGCGGTTGTCACAGGGATGGCATTGTGGCCGGGATCACCGGGGTTGTCGAGGTGTCCATTCTTGTCCGCGGGACCGTTATTAGTGTCGGCGACACGGACGGGCTGCTCTTCGCGAGCTGGATCAGCCATGACAGGTAATTGAATTGAGCTTTGGTCTTTAGAATTGTTCGTTAGACGGGGAAGCTGATTCCCACAGACGGCGCCACTGATCTGACCTGATCAGAAATGGACCGTCACGGCTGGCTCCGAGCAGAAAGCTTTTTTGAACGAGGTGGGGGGGGGGTACCTGCAAGGCACTCCGATGCTAAAGTAAGTGGGAGTACGAGCAGATAATAGCAAGTTGAGGTTAGAATGATGAATACCTGACCCTCTGGAAGCAGAGGGTATTTATAGCCCCCAGCGCTGGGCCAAGGTTCCTTCATTGGGCCGGGCAGGTTTGGCCCAATGGAGGAACTGCCAGGTTCTACGTGGGTAGTGGGGACCCGCACGTGGTCCCCTTCCTGGATGTTCTGCATGAAGTGCGGGCGGACGGAGACGCGGTCTTTCCGGAGTCTCGTTGGGGGAATAGTGGACTGAGTCTGCCCTAGTTGGGATGCTCGAGGCAATGTCGAGCTGGACAGCAGGGTGTCGAGCTGGACATCAGGACGTGGAGCTGTACGGCAAGACGTCGAGCTGGGTATCAGGAGGTGGAGCTGGACACCAGGATGTCGAGCTGGACATTAGGATGTCGGACACGGCTGTGCCCTTTTGGTCGGCGTGGTCCTCAGTAAGTCCCTTTGGACTGGGCCTTAGCAATGCTTTTGGGCCTGTCGGGCCCAGTCCAGAACAATATGTAAACAATGTATCCTAAAAAATTCAGTAATGTTATAGTCTGCACGCAGCTACTGCAAGGAAGTTATCATACTCCTTGCTAGATAATTTAGGGATAATTCCGACTTGAAAAAAAAAATCTAAAATAAGATTAAAGACCAATGCATGTGACTACAAATAAAACCAACATACCAATGATACATACTTACCGTAACAATTTTGTTTTCACCAATAAAACCATTGACTTCATCCGTAGATTTAATTTCTGTTGATGCAAGCCCATTTTGCTTCTTCACGTAGACAATAATATCGTCAGCTTCACGAGGACCTTTGTATTCCTGATAGGAATAACTTTTTCATACTGCTCAAATCAACACGAAACAATATTTCCTTAACTTTTAAATCAGAGAATCTGCATGTAAAATGAGTTTGATGTAATCAATATAATAGGGCCAATTTCAACATTATTATGTTGTTGATTAGTTTTGTACCCTACAGTATTAGAAATAGAAATTATAGGTGTATATTGCCTTACCTTTGATGTTGCATTGAGGAAAGTCTTACTCCTTTAGATTTTTCTCCGACTCTAGTGATAGGACTCAAAACCTCATTATGCAGTTTTTATTAATAAAACACTTTATTTCTAATAACAAATATTGAAAACAAAACTCATTCCAGAACCAAGTATAAAATCGCAGAGTAACTTACCTGTCCATTCTTGAAAACATTCTGCAATACCAAAAAAAAAAGAAGGAAATAATAAGAACCCTAAAACCATTGCACAAATTAGTATATGAGAATCATTAAAAGTGAAACTCAAAAATAAAATGTACTGGTTGTTAGATCAAAAGCCCTTGAACAATAATCAACCTGTAGGACATTCAACACATATAAGACATCATCAATAAGTTTTTCAAATAACAAAGATTGAAAAATCTTTAAAACAAAAAAAATATTAAAATCAAACAAAAAGCAAAGCAACAAACCTATATAAAATGAGGAACCATTTATTAGCCCAGAAGAGAAATATTCTTCTTCGATTGAGAGGCAAAGAAAGTGGGAGTTAGGGTTGAGAGGTGGATGATTTTGGTTCAGAGGTGGAGGAAATGATAAACGCCAAACCGTGTGCAGTTGAAAGATGAAGAATGGACTCACAATTGAATTTTCGAATGTGAATGTCGAAGATGAGATGTTGTGACTTTGATTGACATATTTAAGGGTTTTATGGAAGACATCAAAAAGGTAAAATGAAACGCTGCAGTTATGAGTAGTCCATAAGAAATAGTGTGCAATATTCTACTTCAATAGCCTTTGAATACTGTGTTGAACTAATGAGTTTAATTAGACCCACAACATTGATAATTTGGTATCATTAAAATAAATTAAAAAAATATGAAAAAATATTGGTGTGACACATCAACCTCATTAATGACGAAATGCATATAAATTAAACTTAGGGTAATAAGTCATTTCTGCGTATAAAATTATTTTAGATTAAGTTTGAATTAGAGGGGTTAAATTTGGTTTTATCAAATACTTTATAATAGATGTGAGAGTTTACTTAACATATATGCTTGTTTTATCCAACTCTCATCTAAGAGAGCTATTATTTTAAACTTTTTATTAGAATAATAAATTTTTATTTGTGTATATTGATGTATAAAGAAAGTAAAATAATTTATAAAATTTGGGATCAAAATCTTTCTTTTTCTTTCCCTTTAAAGTGAAAGACAAAATCTCGAAACTCTCGTTTTCACACAGCGTTCTTACAAATTCGTTACTCTCATTCTTTCTCAAATCTCTGCATTTTCACTTTTCCATTTTTCAGATCACTGTGCCATTACACGGTAATTTCATCTCTCTCTTTTCGTCTTCGTTGTTCATCTTTTCGTTGTTTATGATTTTTTATTCGATTTTTCTCGGTAGCTATTTTAATTGTGAATTTGTTTCGTGTTGTTTGAATTCAGCATTGCGTGTTCCGTTGAATCGAAACTGTGTTGGAAGATTCTTGAATTTTCACTCACATTATGAATCTTACAGTAAGGTGTATTAGGTCGGATGAATGTGCTGTAGGTTCAAATGTGTTGGTGTATGAATCAATTTGGAGTGTTTTTTCCTAATTTGAGTTAAGCACTTTAGTTCATGCTTTACATTTTTCGAAAACAAAATTAATGTGACTTTGAATCTCTGAAGCACGGACACCTCTGAGACTAAGCGTGTATCAATGCCTTTCTAGCTAAGTAATGTTGCTTTGTTATTGGTAATGAACTTCCTATATGTAGTGGAAAATATACTTAGGTGATTTGGACGTGTAGAGAGAAGACCTGTAAATTCTATGTGGTAAGGAGTGCAGATCAGAGGAGAGGAGTCGAACAGGTAGAGGTAGAGGAAGACCTAAAAAAACTATAAGAGAAATTATTATGAAAGATCTCGAGGCTAACGATTTGGATAGAAGCATGGTCCTGGATAGAACATTATGGTGGAAGTTGGTCCATGTACTTTGATTATTGATTTGAGGATACTTGATAGTTAAAGAAAAAGTTAAAACATTTTTTTTTTTTACTGTTTTATATGTTTTTATTGTGATGTTTATCTGATTATCGTTTAAGCTAACATTGATCTTTGAAGAACAGTTACTGTTTGAATGTTGGTTGTACTACCGTGATAGCTGGTGTTTTTATGTTGAGATCTTTCACATACACTGCGTTATGTTTTGTAGGATCGATATGGCAGTAATGGCGACAATAATGAATAGGCAGCATTTGCTGACCTACATCTACCTTCTGGTTTACATTTCACTCTCCTCGGGTGTTATTTTGTATAACAAAGTAAGGGATCACAGATGTCCCAACAATTTCTTTCGATTATGTTTTGTGATTTATCTTGTAAGGTGATATGTTTTGCTCAACCTGTTTCCTTTTTTGGGCATTGGTTTATTTGCAGTGGGTTCTCTCCACACTGTATTTTAATTTTCCGTTTCCGATAACTCTCACTATGATCCATATGGCTTTTTCTGGTGGAGTTGCTTTTTTCCTTATCCGTGTTCTGAAGGTACATTTCTGTTAGAGTTTGTTACATCACTGGTTTTAGCTTTTTCTGAATATTCATTGGCTTTTCTTTGAAATATGATCGAATTAACTGGATGATATTTCGTTTTTCATCTTTTGAATTTATGCAGGTTGTAGCGCCTATTAAAATGACATTTCATATGTAAGAATTCTACATAGAATCCTGGTTCACATTTCATGTACTATTTCTGGCTTCATACAAATGTTTGATTTGCAGATACGCAACCTGTGTGGTCCCTATAAGCGCCTTCTTTGCAGCAAGTCTGTGGTAAGCAGTCGATGATATTGATCAAAAGTCGTAATTCAAGCAAAACTATTTGTAAAGTGTATCCCTGTATTCAATTCTATGATGGTCAATGTTAATAAAGTTGGCATTTTAGCAAAGTAGATGCTCTAGTGTTTTTGTCTCCTTTTTTAATATAATAGTCTGACCAGGGTTATCAAGATCAAGATTTATGCTTCCAGCTTGCAGTCTTCGTTTTTGCGAACTCATTGAGATCATAAAAATCTTTTTGTGTGCATGCATGTTCATGTTTGTGGAGCCATAAAAGAAAAGGAGCGCAAAAAGGATGATTGCAAATTTTTATTTGTAGATATGCGCAGATTTAACTAACATTTGATCAGAATCTTATTTTATTGATTATGTTGATCACCTTCTGCATTCAGTTGGATTTTTTTTTATATTTTTATAAATAAAACAAAAGGTCTCATTACAAAGTTGGATGAAACAAATATGGTTCGGCATATATAAAAGATATAATCACCAATTTCAGCTTGCAGATGTATAAATTAAGATGTAGCTAACACACAAAGTCATTTATAATCTTATATAATATATTTGTCACTCATCCTGTTGACTATGATATGCAGTTAGTTGTAATTCAGCAGATGGAACTCGCGACTTCATAATAGTTTTCCTGAATTTAACAAATCACTTTAAAATTGCCGATTGTATATATTTATATTTTAATGAGCTGAATTGTTTTTACCGCACCATAGGTTAGTTATTTTAAATAATTTATTAAGCTGTTTTTATAGTGATTGCTGTCATACGGACCCTAAGTTTTTTTTAAATACTCTGAAAAGTACCTTCTCGATGCACGGCTGTATATTGTACTGGTACATACTAGTTTAATTGATTTTTTGTGTGTTTAGGTTTGGGAACACTGCTTACTTATACATTTCTGTGGCTTTCATCCAGATGCTTAAAGCCCTGAGTGAGTCATTATTTTATTGCATTTCCATCTATAATTGTTTACAGAATTCCTTAATGTAAGATCATTGCGTTCTTTTTTGATTTATTTGTTTTTTCATTTACAGTGCCAGTGGCAACATTTCTCGTGGCTGTTACTCTCGGAACTGAGAAATTAAGGTGTGACGTGTTCTGGAACATGGTATTGGTCAGTGTTGGAGTTGTCATTTCCTCCTACGGGGAGATACATTTTAATGTGCTCGGTACGGTTTATCAAGTCTCAGGAATAGCTGCTGAAGCATTGAGGCTGGTCTTAACTCAAGTTCTTCTTCAAAATAAAGGCTTGACACTAAATCCTATTACCAGCTTGTATTACATAGCACCCTGCAGGTAGTTCCGTTCTTATGTATTTGAAAACCTATATGTAGTTCTGTTTATGTTGGTGGGAGGGAAAAAAAAGCTCATGAAGATTGAACCTTCTATATTAATTTTAGTTAGTTTCAATTTTGGCCCATGTTTTTATATTGCCACTGAAAATGGTGTGGTTAGTTTCTGTCACTAGGTGTATCTTACTGTTTGTGTGTGTTTGAACTTCGAATTAGATTATTGTGTTCAGACAAGCTTACAGTCAAAATGCTGCAGGATATGTTGATCTAATATGATGATAATAGCATTTTTGCACTTCTGAATAGATATTGGGTGCCATTTTGTGTGTCCTTTGCATGTAAATGATTACTCTGTTGCTTCCTGCTTGGGGTACTTTATTATGATAATTTATACTGTACTCACTTTGACACAAGAGGAGTAGGGGCTGAGGCACCTTTTTGGGATATCTATGTATTTAAAATGTCAGGGGGCATATTAAATTTCAAACTTAGACTTTTATTTTATCGGGCTGAATAATGACCATTTACTCCTTATTCTATACAGCTTTGCGTTTCTTTTTATTCCATGGTATATCCTTGAGAAGCCTGAGATGGAAGCTCCACATATGCAGTTTGACTTCTGGATATTTTTTTCAAATGCTCTCTGTGCTTTGGCATTGAACTTCTCAACATTCTTAGTGATCGGTAGAACCGGGGCTGTAACTATTCGAGTGGCTGGAGTCTTGAAAGACTGGCTACTTATCTCTCTTTCAACTGTCTTATTTCCTGAATCAAAAATTACAGGACTGAATGTTATTGGCTATGCTATTGGTATATGCTTCTTTGTTGAAAAGACATCTTGGCAGTTTAAATTTCATTTTTTCTTCAACTGATTTTCTTCCAACCAATTTCTTATATGAATTATTTTTGAATGGACAGCTTTAAGTGGGGTTGTTTGTTACAACTACCTGAAGATCAGGGATGTGCGTACATCTCTACTTCAAATTATTCCCGACGAATCAGCAAAGGTTAGCCTTCTCAATAAACTTTGTCTGTTTAGTAGTTTGATCAGTATTCATGCACTATTATAACTTATAATGTCTTTGAAGTTGCATTTTATATTGGAGTGGTGATTCCATCTTATGCTTTGTTTATTCCATTCACATTCCCATCTATGTTAGTAGAAAGAGTTATGGAAGGGTGATTCCTTTCCACAACCGTTCCTTTCTGGCGAGGAGGGATTAGCGATTTCATTCTCTCTAAAAATGAAATTATTTGTTTTTCCTCACATTTTCTTTTAATTTTTCATTTTATTAATATTAAATACTTGTTAGATTTCATAGAATAATATATAAATATATAAAAGAATTATGTAACATTTAAAATATTGTGAAACACAATCACTATTAAATGTATCATAACGAAAATATCATAAAACAATGTATTGTATTTCATCCAATACATGAAGTTCAAGTACTCAAATTATGGAAAACTATGTGTTCGACTCTTATTCGATACCTATGTGTTTGATACTTCCTAATACGTTCGTAGGAAGTATCCAATTATTCTTTTTATTGTTGTTTTTTTCTATCCCAATATGTGATGGAACTCTCAAATCCGTAGTAAGAAATTAAGTAAAAAAAAATATATCAACAATGAAAACATAATGTATTTAATAGATGAAGAAAGAGAACAATGTAGAAAGGAATGAATCCCAATCTACCCTATAGCAAAACTCCTCAAAGGAGAAAATTCTTTCTACCTAACCAAAAGGGCTCATTCAATATTTTAACATAATGGATACAATTCACTAACATCACAATTTATACTACTAAGGCATAACCAACCTGCCAACTAAGCATCCTAACACACTCTTTATTTACCATGTACCCTTACCACACTCATTATTACATAATTCCTCCCTTTTCCTTATGACTCCTATTTGGTGTCTTTCACAACATTTCTTAGAGACAATAATGAGAATTAATGCCTTAAGTATGTGGAAGAAAACATATTCAGACCCAATTCTAAATTTTTCCAAAGAAGTTGAAGGGTACACTTATTCCCTTGATTGAAGCAAGCTTCACCCAAGCTATTTCCTGGAAAGACATTTAGGAGGAAAATAAGTAGTAACTGAATTAACTAGCGTGTTATTTCAAACCTGGAGGAATAGTTGGGTCGTTGTACAATTACCTTTGTCCATTTTTCGGTCTGTAACTTGGTGGCGTTGGATAACTACACCAAAGATCAACTAGTATTGATAACCTCAATACCAAATTTGAGCTCTATCATGATACAACTAAGCTTGATGTTTAGGAACAAGTTTGTTAATGTAGTTTCGCAGAAAATGGTTTTTCTCCCTTGGACTGTTTCTTGAACTGTGGTGATCCATCTTGGGTGTTCTAGGTGGATTTGAAAAGATAATTTCTTAAATTATTACAAAAGTTGAATTCAAACATTAAACATGATAAACTTTTAACTTCTTTCCTTTTGTTGTGAGGGATTCATATCAAGTTTGATTTTGCTGCTGTTGGAAAGTACTGATGAGATAAATTTGTATTGTGATAATCAAGGTGTCTTCACATTAAGCCCAGTCTGTTATGAAAGAACCAAGCATGTGTCAGTTCATTATCACCTTATCTGCCGAAAAGTTTTCTAACAAAATTGCTTGAGTTTGTCATCTCTACTGACCATCTTTAGGAGATTCTCAAAATTATTTTTTAGTTCATATTCAGTTCATTTTTAACAAGTTCGGTCCGTATGATCATCTTTAAGAGATTCTCCCAATTTGAGTTCATATTCACTAATAGTAATAACATAGCCCTTGATTCAAGTATTCTTGCAATTTATATGTGTGTATGTCTGTTTTTAAGAAAACATAATATTTGGTTCAACTTTTGTTCTTTTCCTTTTTCAATCAATATGTAGGAGCTGCAAATGGAGAAAAAGGCAGATGATGATGTGAACACCAATGAAGATAGTCAATGGGATGATACAGTTTTGGATTCTCCTCATTCTCATTTTGACGAAGAAGCACCTTTAATGTATTCATCACGGATATCTCATCTAGGAAGAAAACCAGCTTAGAGGCAAAAAAAAAAAAACATTCATCTTGGAAGAAACCTAGCTTGTCAACAATGAGTTTTAAAAGTCAAAATCTAAAGGAACCAAAACAAGTATATGTCTAAACCTTTCTTCCCAAGAGAAGTACAGAGATATATCCTTTAGAAGAGGGAGGAAAAACAAAAGATGAAAGAAAACAGAGCAGAGGAAACATATATATTCTTTCAGCATAGTTGATTTTTTTAATGAATGTTAAGAGTATTGATCAGTAAATTGATTAATTTTTGTATAGGCTTTTCGGCTGGACCATGCAATGAAGATTCTATTAATTTCACGTGGATCATTATACCTCGGATCCGTGATTCTACGATTCTCGAGTTGCTAGTGTGTACTCGATAGTTATTCTTAGCTATTTTTGCTAACTGTTATTTTAAAATTAAAACGTTTGACAATGCTATGTTTTTCTTATGACAGTCACTTCTATCCGTTTCATTTGTTTTTCTTTTGTCTCAGTCAAGTACTCGACAGTATCCATATTATTGTTAGAAATAAGAAAGAATTTGTGACAATTAATCATCTATTTCTTGACGATTGTTTTGTTTTCACTAACAATCAATTCTTTGAGCAAAATCAAATGAACAGATATGGTCAATAAGAGAGTTAAAACATTGTAGCTTAGTTATTTTTGAACTAAAAATGCTCTTGAATTGTTTAGACATTTACCATGTCCTTGCTATCCGCTATTATTTGATCTAATTCTAGCAATTACAATAAGCAAGATTATATATGATTATAAAGAAATAAGAAAACTTCTATATCATATATACTAACTGTCAATTTTCAGAACCCAATTGAACATATTTGTTCGAGGCAATTTATTTTGTCACTCTTATGATGATGTGGCTCACATTGCTGAAAACTTAAAATTGTTTTCAGAAATTTTTAAAAATGTATTTTTAGACGCACCTTAAATCTCCATATCTTTCGTTATTTCAGATATGTATTTTCGAAATTTTCTTGCACACATCTTAGGCAGAAATATTATCTAAGTTTATATTTTTTTTGAATCAAAAATTATTTTAATCCAATTAACAATGCTATAATTTGATTCAAAGATAAATAAACACGAACAACGTAAAATAAGGTAATGCACTAATTTTAAAAAAATCCTATAATATTACAAATATTGTTCTCAAATTATGGAAAATAATACTAAAACATCTGAAAATACCAAAAAATACATAACCTATTGGGTATGTCTAATCCTAACCCCTTGGCTCCTCCTCTACTGCCGATAACTCAAGGCATTATATGTCTCGGTAAGAATGGAACGTGCTAGAGCAACCACATCATCGTCACCTCTCTCAAAAAACTCATACTCTATGCCCTCATATGTAATTTGTATGATATTATGACAGATCGACAACACATCAATGAATGGTCATACTAACATGCTAGTTTTTTATGATGTCCTCATGAGCAGACCTAGGTGGACGTCCAGTAGCGTTTGGTGTCATGACAAGGTGTGACACAATATAGGTCAAGTCATGTAACCGTCCACATAAGACCATTGACTTATGCTTGGCATACTCTGATACTCCTTTGGTATCAGATGAATCATAATCTACCACTATGTCAGCAAGATGTCTGCGCATGATGTTGTTAGGAGTAGACTCGAAGGGGAATCTCAGAATGGTCTGCACATATCTAAACTGACGCATGCATCGCTTCAACAATTACCTACACATTAGATTTCTCCCACATACAAGTCATCCAGAGTAATATGAAATGGGGTCGAAGGCAACAATGTCCTAGTGAGTGGAGTATGGTACCCATTCGATGTCATCATGTTGAGTCCTGTCAATATACACACAGAACAATCGCATATCATCATTCCCTATGCGTGAGTAATACATGCAAGCATGCGACCAATCTTCAGTATACTCTAGCACACGATCAAACTCATGTATGCGGTAAAAGTGGGATAAGATCTATCCCTGAAAATGAATAAGAAAAAAAATAGTAACAAGTGTAAAAAAAGTACTTTTAAAATTAATAATGACTATGGAAATTACCGTCAGTGGGGTGCAGGAGCTTGTCATTTACTTTGTCGTCCAAAGAGAATCTTCGCTCAACTTGGAGTACAAGTATACCAAACAGGCGGCCCCTTAATTCCACTCGTGAATGACCGACAAGTCGATGAAGTACTTAAGATACGCCACATCGACGTAGGTTGCATTTTTGTCCACAAACATGGACGTACATACCAACCAAGAATATGAGGAAATACCTCAAAGCACACTCTCGGTGGTAGGTAAACTGTAAATCATCATCGTCGACATCACCGACCAACTCCAAAAATTTGTTCATATAGCTTATTCAAGTATGAAAATTTAGCATGAGCACCTCTAGTTTTCTCACACTGCATCAAGACATCCATTAGGTCAACTCCCAAATAAATAACCATCGTCTCCTGGACTTCATCGTGTTTGATCCTGGAATGATCAAGTAACTTCCCCCCTGATAGGAAGGTGTAGATGGCAAGCAATGTCATATAGTATAATCATCTTCTCGTTAATGACAGAAACAAATATCAATATTTCCCTAACAACCCTAAATGCAACCAAATCATAGTGCATGTCTCTAACAGCTACCTATTTCGAATGTGACTACTACCTAATGCATTAAAATAAACTATTTTACCTAATAAATTAATCAAAACCCAAAATAAGTTAAATGAGAAACTCAAAAAATTGTTGATTAGGATGAAAAATATTGAATGTAGGTGGAGTGAGTTGAGATTGGAAAGATTGAAGTAGATTGTTGTTCATTGAAGAACTCAGTGGAATAATGTTGCTCATGAGCTCCAATAGGGGTTCTCAAAAGTTTAAGAAAATGAAGAAGAAGAAGAAGAAGAGGAGGGAGGGTCTGGCGTGCGTTATATATACATTGAACACGTTTGGAGATTCATCTCTGAAATAAAACCTGAATTTGAAAACAAGGGTTAATTCGGAGATGCATCTGCAAACAAACCCTAAAACACATATGGAGATGCATTTCCAAATTAAATTTTGGCAAAGTGAGGGGAGCTTAACAATTCACACTTATTTTGTGTGAAAATAGTGCGCCCGGAGTTGCATCTCTAAAAACTAGGAATATTTTTTACTTTTTGCCAAGAGTTAGGGAGAACCTATAAGGGTGAGAAAAGAAATTCCCTTTATCAGAAAAAAAATATCGTTTAACAATTTTCGATCTTAACCATTCTTCGATTGTTTGACTAGTGCAAGAGATTCTCCAGTTTAGATTTCAGATCTACAAGAGGGTATCATCTATGAGCCTAAATTCAAAAGGAGATTTCACGTTATTGAAGTAAACAAATGCGATATACCAATATTGTTTCATTCTGTTGTATTTTTGTTAACAAGATATGAGACATATTTATACAAGCTTTAGATAAATATGGACCATATAAAAGTAATCTTTTCTCAGGGGTGAACCCGGATTTCAATTTCTAGATTCACCCTATTTTGTAGTAAAATACCACAAGAAAAGAGGCTTGTCCGGATATTGAAATCTACATTCACTCTATTTTCAAAGCACATATAAAGTTTTCGTTGAGTTTGAAATCCGAATTCACCCTTATAGAGGCCATCACACAAAACATGTTTTAACAAACAAACAAAAGTAGTTTTATGACATAGAAAATATTAATTCCAATAATTATACAAGTAATGTCAGATATAAATTAAAACACATCAAAATGTATGTGAATTTTATCGGTGGAAATAAAAAACTAACATTACATACAAAAACTATGTCACCACCTAAATGCATTGTAAGATAAAATTAAATGCATCGAAGATGTGTCACCACCTAAATCTATATCTATGAGTGATTCATCCTTTGAGTTTTCCTAATTCGACAATCTTTCAATATCTCTCAACTTTGTAAACTCTTCCATCATATCCAAAAAAATATTCCGGCCAAGTTTCAACTTCATTAGTGAAATGAGATATCCACTCAGTGAATGTTTGTGGTATAGGGCATCCTAGTTTCAAAAAAACATGAACAAAATATTGTGATTTCCCAATACATGTTGGGGGAGTTCACTAGGGAACAACCTAAATTCAAAAGGAGGTTTCACGTTGTTGAAGTAAACAAATGCGATATAGCAATATTGTTTCATTCTGGTGTATTTTTGTTAACAAGATATGAGACATATTTATACAATTTTTAGATAAATATGGACCATATAAAAGCAATCTTTTCTCAAGGGTGAACCCGAATTTTAATTTCTAGATTCACCCTATTATGGAGGAAAATACCACAAGAAAATATGCTTGTCCAAATATTAAAATCTACATTCACTCTATTTTCAAAGCACATATAGAGTTTCTGTTGAGTTTGAAGTCCGAATTCATCCTTATAGAGGCCATCACACAAAACATGTTTTAACAAATAAACAAAACTAGTTTTATGACATGGAAAATATAATTCCAATACTTATACAAGTAATGTTAGATATAAATTAAAACACATCAAAATGTATGTGAATTTCATTGGTGGAAATAAAATACTAACATTACATACAAAAACTATATCACCACCTAAATGCATTGTAAGATAAAATTAAATGCATCAAAAGATGTGTCACCACCTAAATCTATATCTATGGGTGATTCATCCTTTGAATTTTCCTAATTCGACAATATTTCAATATCTCTCAACTTTATAAACTCTTTCATCATATCCAAAAAAAAATATTCCGGCTATGTTTCAACTTCATTCGTGAAATGAGATATCCACTTAGTGAATATTTGTGGTATAGGACATCCTAGTTTCAAAAAAATCTGAACTAAATATTGTGATTTCCCAATACATGTTGGGGGAGTTCACTAGGGAACAATCTAAATTCAAAAGGAGGTTTCACGTTGTTGAAGTAAATAAATACGATACACCAATATTGTTTCATTCTGGTGTATTTTTGTTAACAAGATATAAGACATATTTATACAAGTTTTAGA